GGCAACAAAACAGATGGAGAACGCAACTTGTTAGACACGCACATTTTAGTAGACGTGAACAAAGCATTGGCTCTGTCATTTTACTTAAAGGGATAGTTCGCTGATAAATGAAAATGCACTCATCATCTGCTAACCACTATGCCGATGGAGGGGTGGGGGAAGTGTTTGAGTCCATAAAACACTTCTGGAGTCTCAGAAGTGAACATTGTAGCAGCCGAATCTGATACAATTGAAGTCAATGGTGACTGAGACTTCAGATGTAATAAAACAACAGAAAAAAACAAAACATACCTCCATACTGCTCGTTTGGTGTCATCCAAGTGTCCACAAGCTCCGACATTCATATTTGAATGGAAACAAGGTCATTTAAACTGATTAAAGCCTAAATGTCTGCTGATATATTCCTACGAGGTGCATTCATGGACCCTCGGACACACTACATCCGGTAGTTTAGCCACTTCCAGTGGACATTTAGGGTTAAAACACGGTGTAAATGACCTTGTTTGTCGAATATGAATGTCGGGGCTTGTGGATACTTGGATGACACCACATGTGTCCACCGCAGTATGGAGGCATGTTATATTTTTTCTGTTTTATTACGTCTGAGGAGTCTGAAGAAGGACTCACCATTGACTTCATCAAATCGGCTGCTGCAAAGTTTACTTCTGAGACTCCAGAAGTGTTTTGTGGACTCAAACACTTTGCCCACCCCTCCATAGGCATAGTGGTGAGTAGATGATGTGTGCAATGAATTTTTTATCTGTAAACTGTCCCTTTAAGCTGCCTGCCTCGATGGATACTGTATATAGCTGACACTAAGTGTTTTTTTGGTTTTGTCCCCCCCTTCAAAGATCACTGTGTCCACTACTATGATCTCCGCAACACTAAGCAACCAATCATGGTGTTCAAAGGTCATAGGAAAGCCGTGTCCTACGCCAAGTTTGTCAACGGAGAGGAAATTGTTTCTGCGTAAGTCATTTAAGCGTCATTTGTTATTTTAAGCAGTGGGGTTTAATTTTCTTTATATACATAATTTATAAGACCAGAAATGTTTTTCTCCAGTTTATTTAATATTTGGATGTTCATTTTTTTTTAAAGCTCATTGTTTTCTTTGCTGATTTGAAATAACCACATTTCATGAAAAATGCTTGTATCGATGGGAAAACAATAGAGATAGTTATACTTCATAGTCCTCACATGCAGTTTCAACATTTCCCATCACAAAATGCCCTCTAGCTCTAAACTTTGTTTGTGCCCTTTTAATGTGTAGTTCGACAGACAGTCAGCTGAAGCTGTGGAACGTCAACAAAACCCACTGTCTGCGCTCCTTCAAGGGTCACATCAATGAGAAAAACTTTGTAGGCCTCGCTTCAAATGGAGACTATGTTGCCTGCGGTAAGCATTTTACTTAGAATCCGACCCCAGATTTTATACTCATTCCCTATCTACAGGAGCAATAGCAAGAAATAAAAAATTTAATTTTGCGTTTGTGTGTGTGTATACAGGAAGCGAGAACAACTCCCTTTACCTTTACTACAAAGGACTTTCCAAGACTTTGTTAACATTCAAGTTTGACACGGTGAAGAGTGTCCTGGACAAGGATAAGAAGGAAGACGACACAAACGAGTTCGTCAGTGCCGTCTGTTGGAGGGCCCTGCCTGACGGAGTGAGTTCTCCTCATTATGACGCTGTTATTGACTTTGATATATTAATGGAATATTAAACCAACAAATCTGTACTCTCAGAAAACATTTTCATCTTGATGCTTTTATTAAGATTGAAAGGTGTGTGAACAATAAAAAAGACCAATTAGGTGACACAAAGCAAATTTTACAGTTGCATTAATTACATTAATTATACTAATTGTTCTACAAGTAATTAACTATTCAAACAGTAACTTAAACTATGTTGTGTTTTCTTAATATCTTGTTTTTCAGGAATCAAATGTGCTGATTGCTGCAAACAGTCAAGGAACAATCAAGGTTTGCATTTTGTACAAACATGTACATAAATCATACTAACAACCACAGGCCTCCTGCATGAAATGTCAGACCGTGTCATAGATTACAGTTAATGCATAAGGCCTTTTTAAGACTTAACCATTTTGTCGTTTGGCATAAACTAGCAGTGTTTTATTTTCCTGTCAATGGCTTAATCTTTTTTTTTATTTTTTATTTTTTTTGATCTCATACAATAAGAACTTGTTTCCAAATTAACCTGTTGAAACTGACCTTTTGAACTGTCTTGATACCTTATCAACATAGATGCAGCCTAACCTGTCACAGCAATGACTGCACTCATTCTAAACCACAGATAACACAACACGTCTGTCCTTTCTCTCCACACAGGTACTTGAGCTCGTCTGAACATCCACCGTGTCTTCAGTGGACGATATAAATACCATCAGCCTCTCTCTGATCGGTAAAGGATCAGTCTGACGCAGGGAGAGCTCAAGCTGCCTGCTGAATTAGGATGCCCCGCCACAACCTGGCTGAAATGAACTGTACCCTTCTTATTTTAACAAGCTACGCTTTGTTTGGACAGCAGTAAAAGACTTTGGACCAGTGCATCATTATAGCAGGAGAAGATGTGCAGTCATTTTACGGCGACAAAACAAGGATGGAGCTTGGGCACAAAATGGAACAAGAAGCCTTCAGAAAGCATTTTTCCGGCTACAATAAAACACCTTAATGGTTTTAGGTCAAATGAAAACATGTACCTTTTTTAATTCAGTTTTGAAGGTACATCCAGCCAAACTCTACTCGTGTGATGCATTTTCCCTTTTAAAGGCCAAAGCACAAGACAAAATGACATGCAAAAATGATTTTTTCATGTGGAGCTTTTAAACCCCTATTGTTTGTCGATCTCCAGTTTTTCCCTCTGTGTACTCATGTTTTCAGATTGGGAGAAACCCGTTTTAATAAATATGACTTGAATTTCATTCTGTCAAGCGTATCGTCAGTTTATCATCTTGCTGAAGAGTGTAGAATGTGAGGTAGCGTATGGAAGACCAATGAATTATGGACATGTTGAGAAACTGCTGATATTTCTGTTTCTATCGGAACAACATGAAATTTGACCTTTAATCACAATGATTCTCATGTAAACTGCAGACATTGTTTTGCAATGCAACATCAAAATGGATTTTTTTTTTGTTTCTCATATGTGAGCTGTTTGTTGCTTGTAAAAAATGAAAACCTCACAGAATCATATTTTGTTAAGTAGCAATGGAATTTCTCTTCACATACTGTTGGCTAAAAAACATCTGAGCTGAGCTGCATTGTAACTTCAGGCAAACTGCCGTCGGTTTCTGTGGAGTGGTGATCCGTGTCGACACATGGAGGGGATTTAGTAAACACCGCCAACACCTACCTATTTTATGATAAATGAGTGAGAGGTGTTTTGTATTTGTATAACTGAATAAATTATTTCGAAACAATTTCAGTAATGTTTGCTCATATTTTCTCTGCATTCTCGTGGCATTTTAAAGTTTCTCCTGAGTGTGCTTGTATGACTGAGTTATGTGTTTACTGCTGCTAATGGGTCTCGTATGGGGAGTTTAAACCTTGTAAATCTGTTCAATCTGCGGTCTCCCAGAACACATCTGTATTAGCTAAATCGCCAGAGAGCCACTAAATGTCTTTACACCAGGGCTGCGTCGTGTGAAACCTATATCTGCAGGAAACGTCCACTGTGGCCATGTAAACTCAAGAAATGACATGTTCTGTAATGACATGAAAAACAGGCTAAACAAAGGGGAAGCAGTTTGCTACTTCAATCTCAACACTGTCTCAACACAAAGACTGAGACCCCCGACTTTCTGCAAAGTAAATTACTAATAGAGAAACATTTTTAAGGGAGTTAGTACAAAATTTTGAAAAGGCCATCGTATTTAAAATGCCCTATGCTAATTGTAAGGTATCACACAATCACAGCTCTACAGTGACAGGGAGGCGGGTGTGCGCACAACTGACTTTTTATGTGCATGTGTTTACAATGATCGCAGCCTGTATACATTCATTAAGTATTCAATTTGCTCATTAATAAAGCCCTTGAAATTATTAATTAGCTGAATTTGTATTGTGTCTAATAACATTCAAAATTTAAGAATGTAATCTCAAGAATCTCATATGCAATTAATTCATGATATGTGCTATATATATATATATATATATATATTAGGTTAAAGCAACTTATTGCTTGTATTTAAATTAATCAATCAATCACTGCAGGCCTTTTAAAAAAAAATTAGACATTCAATTGTCTAATTAGACCTCTGTTCAGGTTTGAAATGTGTGGTGCTATAATTGTCATTACGTAAGATCACCAAACTCTTCAAAGATGAACTTTCATTATAAGGTAAGTAGGCTTTATTCACAGCAGATATCTGACCTGTTCTACAATAGTAGGAAAACATGAGTGACATTGAGTTGGGACTCTGAAAGATGATTCATTCACATTCACCCAATGATCAAAACAGCTAAATGGAACTCAGCCATTATAAGATTATATGACAGGCAATCAGTGTTTACACACATGCACAGTTCTGGGAAGTTACACGGTCAGGATAACACACTCAAGATGGAGGTTGGGTGATAATCTAGCTATCAACCCAATCTTTGAACATATACATTATATTTCCATAATTCAAATAACAGAATACCTTTATTTAGTCCAAAATGATGGGATAAGAAAGCCACCTCATAAGTTTTAATCTAGTTAAATATATACATTTTATTTCTGATGCAGGAAATCAAAATAAGAGTGAGGTTGTGTCCTAATTATTAATAATCAAGATTTATCAAATCAAAATGATTTGACTATTAATGTCAAAACCAACAGTGGAATCATTGTAATGAACTATGTAACATAGTTGACTTGATATCTCGTGAATATTAAACTGTTAAAACTCTAGAATGTTTTCTTTATGATTCTTTTTGTAATTATATTTTTAACCAACTGATCGTGATGGTCAGAAAAAAAAACCGGAACGTCTGTTTTACGACTGGCGGCGGAATGTTTTAGCAGACGGACCACGGACAACTAGCTAGTTAGCCGCCGTTGGAAACAAAACCAGACTCTAGTGAGAGCAAGTAGCAAACCCCGGCTGTATTCACCTACGTAGCTGAACGTCTGTAGACCAGCTTTGAAGAGGCGAAGATGGGAGTCCCGAAATTTTACCGATGGATTTCAGAGCGCTATCCATGTCTCAGTGAAGTCGTGAAGGAACATCAGGTAGGAAAGCAGCTCTTAACGTTAGCTCCTCAACTCACTGTTACTGCTAGCCGCAACGTTAGCTTGAGCTAGCTGCTGGCTACCACCGACCTAAGCATAGAGGGCCGGGGAAGTTTTCTGTCCCGTAGTGTCCCGGTGTTATCGCCCCGCACAGCTCGGCTCCACTGTGGAAAACATACTTTCGGCTCCATTACTCATTCACAATAATAAAAGGAAAAACAGCGTTAAAACAACAGACGCTCGCCATGTTGCTGTTCGGTGTCCTACGTGTAAACACTTGGAGCGTAAACATGTCAGACTGAATCTAACTTGAAGGTCTTTGTTGGGCGAGAACATTCTGACCAACAATAAACTTCACACAGTCAGCTAGCTTAACCTTAACCCAGGTGAATACAGCTGCTAGTCGATGCCAGCTAATTTACAGCCACCGGGACCTGCGATGTCTGCGAATTTTCAAAATTCCATAGCTGTTGGTATTTAGCCAGTAGTCAACAGACATTTCTACTTGACCACACATTACTCCGATTTATGGGGATTTTTCAGTTTCGGCCGGAATGAACTTCATTGACCGGTTTCCCTGTGTAGTGAGGGAGATAGTGTTTCAGTGCTGGAGCAGCAGTTTCATCAGCTGGACGTGGCTCAGTGTCACACTCGTCAGCAGACGATCTGTGACTTCATAGGAAACGAAACTAGGTATCGCAAATGTGTTCAGCTCACCTCTTTATTGACACTTAAAGGTCCAGTGTGTAAGATTTAGGTGAAAGGGAACTATTGGCAGAAATTCAATGTAGAATAATCCTCATGATTTTTCCACTAGTTCATTTCATCTTAATTGTATGAATTGTAGTTTTCTTTCCCCTAGAAAAAGGCCCTTTATATTTAAATACTTTATATTTACATTGAGGAAGTCCTCTCTACGGAGGCCGCCATGTTTTTTACATTAGTCCAGACTGAACAAACCAAACACCTTTTGAGTTTTAATGACAATTAAAGGCTACCACGGGTTATTTTTCATGTTTGGAAGGAAAGGATGAGGAGAGGGGTGTTCAGCTGCAACATGCAACTTCAACACTAGATATTACAAAATTCTACAGACTGTACCTGTAAGCTCCTCTGTGACATTTTCCAGCTAACACACTGATAATAAACCTTACTCCTGCTCAACCTCATCGTTGTCGTCAGTGTTACTGGAGAAAGTTTTGGGGTTCTTCGTCTGTGTTAGGCAGAAGGATTCTGCTAGAATCGGAAAAATATGGAAGATGGGGACAGAACTTCTGACCTGGTTAGAAGACAAGCATCCCCTGAGCCACAGCCGCCTGTGACCTTTTCACTTAGGGCACCCAATGTTTGTGATCTGCAGTAAATCCAGCCGTGCAGTGCAGACAAACAAACAAAAAACAATCTCACATATAGATTTTTCAAGTTGGTCAATATTGCTGAATGTATTCTGCAATCTATTAATCATAGTCATTGTATTTTATTTTTTTGGTTCTTACTCTCCTCAGATCCCAGAGTTTGACAATCTCTATCTGGACATGAATGGGATCATCCACCAGTGTTCACACCCCAACGACGAGGATGTCCACTTTCGCATCTCGGAGGAAAAGATTTTTGCCGACATCTTCCATTACCTGGAGGTCCTCTTCAGGATCATTAAGCCCTGCAAGGTCTTCTTCATGGCTGTGGATGGTGTGGCGCCGAGAGCAAAGATGAACCAGCAGAGGGGACGGAGATTCAGGTAGACATGGATGTGGGTTGAAAGAGACGGAATGGAGAGACTGGAATTTACTCATTTAGCAGATGCTTTCATCCAAAGCAACTTATAACTGTGAAGTTCCTGTTATAGATTGTTTAAATAATAATATATTATTGTTATTATGGAATAGTTTTAAGTTTTTAACTCTTGTGCTCCTTTTAATCTCAAAGAAACTTGATAATGATTTTTTTGTTAGATGTAAGGTTGTTGGAGTAGCCTTTTATGAAGTGATAAAATAAAGAAGCAGGTTTTATGAGCATGTTTCTCTGTGATGTTGAATCCTCACTGAAGATAATGCTGCTTTCTTATTATCTTATCAGGATGACAACTCTGATTACAAATATATTTTTATAAGCCGTCAGGAAAATGTTTTGCTTTGCAAATAATGATCTGTTTAACTACAGTAAATCTGTGTCTGTATGACTGAGCCCCAAAACAGACAAACTGTTCAGTGCTCAGATGGAGGAAACTGGGCTGATGGCAGGAACCCAGCGTAAGCCTGTGAGTTTGACCTTTGGGGGGGGGCGCCTCTGTGTGTTTGTTAAGGTCCGCCAAAGAAGCAGAGGACAAGATAAAAAAAGCCCTGGATAAAGGAGAGGTCCTTCCCACAGAAGCTCGCTTCGATTCCAACTGTATCACTCCAGGTCAGCATGCACTCAAGCTTTACGCAACAATGACATTACACATTAAACTAGTAGAAGGATCTGGAGAACTAACTGCATATTATGTACGTATATTTGTTAAATTCAGTTCATCTGTTTATAATAACGTTCTATTTATATCAAAACTTTTCTAAATCTAAACAACTATAAATGTGACTCCCTGAATAAATCAAGTCAAAATCACTAGCGTTTTTAAGATTTAGAAAAGGTTTATTCTCCATCTTTTCACTTGGACAGCCATTACCAGGTTGCCATGAACATACAATGCTAAAAAAAAATTAGGGAACACATAAATCACACATCAGATCTTGATGAATGAATTATTCAAGTTGAAAATCTTTACCGGTTGTATAATTGTATAATTTGTTGAGAACAAAATGATGTAAAAACTGTCAATACACAGCAACTCAAAATGTGACTCAGTACTGTGTTTGGCCTCCGCCTGCCTGTATGCTCAAAACAAAATCTGGACATGCTCCTGATGAGTTGGTGGATGGTGTCCTGGGGGTTCTCCTCCCAGACCTGGATCAGGGCATCAGTGAGCTCCTGCACAGTCTGTGGAGGCCCTTGGCAGTGTCAGATACACTGATACCCATAGGTGTTCAATTGGATTTAGGTGAATGTGAGGGCCAGTCAATGGCATGAATGCCTTTGTAGTTAACAGCAGTCACGGAACCGTTGTCTATGACATGGAGGTCTGTGTGACCCTCCACGGATATGCCTCCCCAGACCATCACTGACCCACCACCAAACTGGTCGTGCTGGATGATGTTACAGCAGCATAACATTCACCACAGCTTCTCCAGACTCTGTCAGATGTGCTCAGTGTGAACCTGATCTCTTCTGTGAAGAGAGAGAAGTGGCAGACCTGCCAATTCTGGTGTCGTCTGGCAAATGCCAGTCGAGCTGCACAGTGCTGGGCTGTGAGCACAGGTCCCACTAGAGGACGTCAGGCCCTCATGTCACTCTCATGGAGTCTGTTTCTGACAGTTTGGTCAGAAACATGCACACCAGTATTCTGCTGGAGGTCATTTTGTAGAGCTCTGGCAGTGCTCCTCCTGTTCCTCCTCACTCAAAGGAGCAGATACAAGTCCTGCTGCTGCATTGATGCACTTCTACAGCCCTATCCAGCTCTCCTCTTGTAACTGTCGGACTCCCTGTATCTCCTCCATGCCCTTGAGATCGTGCTGGGAGACACAGCAAACCTTCTTGCGTACGCATGTATGTATGTGCCTTCCTGGAGGAGCTGGACTACCTGTGCAAACTGATCGTGCTGCAGATATCGCGTCATGCTACCAGTAGTGACAAGGACGCTAACGGAACACAAAACTGATTGAAGAATCAATCAGTTGTCACTTTATTTGCACCAAAGCAGGTGAAATTGATTCAGAATCACCTGTGCCTCCTAAATGGACAGATTGATGTCTTTGAAGTTTAGCTGACTTGCTGTTCTACTGTGACGATTAAGTGTCCTTAATGTTTTTTGAGCAGTGCATTAACTTGGCACTGCAATGCGTGGTTGTTGTCACCCATTTAGGGTGTAACATAACACAGTAGTGTTGCTCCTGATTTACGCTGCAGAAAAATTGGAGTTCTGATATGCTTCTGTCCAGCTCCTTGTGTTTTTGTAGTTCCTCATTTTAACACAGTAGCAATCCACGCCACTTTGTTACTCCACACTAAACCTTTTCCAATGAGTTTCAGGCCACAAGTTAAAAAAGAGAACTTAACGACCAGACTATTTCTCAAAACCCACACTCATGCTGACTGAAGTCGTTGGTCATTCTGAACGGAGACTTCCTTTTCTGATAGTATTGGTCTGTTTAGTCGACACCAGTAGTTGAAATGAACTAAACCAAACACATCAGAGTTTAATGAACTGAAACACACATTTTAGATGTGCAGGCAACCACGTCAGTTTCAGTGTGTGTGTGGTTATGGTTAACTGCTTGTTTGAGGTCATTTTCACTGTCAGTGCTGTGGCATGGGCCTCTGCTTATTCCACGTTAGAACAAAAACTTCACATAAATGTTTTTTGTATGTATCCACGGATACTTAAAGAAGTTATGAGGTGTTTGTGTGCAACCATTAATGTCACATTTTATAGAATGAGAACTAAGATCATATGTACATTTGTCTGTTCTAAGAAAGATAACAATGCGCTCTTAATCACATCCTTTCTCCAGGCACTGACTTCATGGCAAGACTTCAGGAGCAGCTGAAATATTTTGTACACAACAAAATCTCCACTGACAAGTTGTGGCAGAAAGTCAGAGTGTACCTGTCTGGCCATGAGGTGAGTGAACATGGCACCATGCTCTTCTTGCCTCCTCTAAGTTACTGGGATTTTGTTAATGCTGCAGTCAGTAGTACTTGTACTAAGTGTGTTTCTCTAACAGACACCAGGGGAAGGAGAACACAAGATCATGGAGTTCATTCGCTCTGAGAACACAAGGCCGGGTCACGACCCCAACACCCGACACTGCCTATACGGCCTGGATGCTGACCTGGTACTGTTTGTGTGCCTGTGGTTTATACTCAAATGAATACGTTTGTTACTGCTCAAATCTTGTGTGGATGTAAAAGAGATGCTCACACTGTCTCTACACTCCGTGTTGTAGATAATGTTGGGTTTAACCAGCCACGAGCCAAACTTCTCCCTGCTAAGAGAAGAGGTCCGCTTCGGAGGAAAGAAATCCCAGAAAAGGTGCGATATGCTTTTCTCTTTTTTCTCTTGTTTCCCCCCATTATTAGCATGCTTGTTTCTGTCACACTCTGCTCTACCATTTGTTCACCCTGCTTTCTATTTCCGTCTCAACCAGGATAACGGCTCCAGAGGAGACAACTTTTCACTTACTTCATTTGTCTCTGATGAGGGAGTACATCGACTATGAGTTCTCTGGGCTCAGGGTGAGGCACACACACACACGCATGCATGCACACACACACACACACAAACAGGCACGTATTTTATTGTTTTAATATGTTCCACTTTATTATGTGTATGTTGGCTGTATTCTGATTATATATATATTTTTTCAGAATCAGATTGGTTCTGATTATGACTTGGAGCGAATAATAGACGACTGGATTCTAATGGGCTTCCTTGTGGGAAATGATTTCATCCCTCACCTCCCTCATCTCCACATTAATCATGATGCTTTGCCTTTGTTGTACAAGACCTACATCAGTGTACTACCCAGCTTAGGAGGTGAGACACGCACACCCACAATTGTTATGATAGAATACCTTTTTTAAATTAAAGTTAAAACGTTGCACGGAAATATGAAGCATGTGTAAGAGGCTGATTTTCTTGAAGTCTTGTTTTGTTTGTTCAAAACGTGTGTTTTTGGTTTCAAGTAGTCTTTGTAGTGGATGAGCGTCTAAAATAGTCTGCACATGTCAATTAACAGAAACAATTTCCGCTATCAGGTATGTTGTATCCATAAAAATAACTTGTTTTCTGACCCAGGTTATCTGAATGAGAACGGTCATCTGAACCTCAGAACATTTGAGAAATACCTGGAAAAGTTGGCTGAGGTAAGACCACTCTCCAAGCTGAGTGGAACGTCTTATTAATGCCAGTGATATTGACATGAGTGGAAGTTTGGAACATTATTTCTCTGAAGTCATAATTGCTGTAATTTATTGTGTATTTGGTCTTTTTTATTTCATTTCATTTATTGTCTACAGATTTTTGTACATATTTCAGGATTTCTTCTGTTTTACAAAACACTATTGCAAATAGTAAACGTTTTCTTTCTTCTTCCTCTCTCCTGCCCCCTCCCCCTCAGTTTGACCGGGAACATTTTAGCGATGTGTTTGTGGACTTGAAGTGGTTTGAGAGTAAAGTTGGTAACAAGTATTTGAACGAGGCTGCTGGACTTGCAGCAGAGAAGGAAGCTGCTTGCAAAAACACAAAAAAGACAGAGGTAGAGACATGCAGGGATTTAAAAATAAAGCCAGTATTCATTCACTGTTCTTGTGTTCCCTTTGATTAATAAGTCCTATCATGTTTGTGTGTGTGTGTGTGTGTGTGTGTGTGAGTAGGAATCTTCTGTCAGTCTGGCAACTCTGACCTCATCAGACGGAGCGGCTAGAGAACGAAAGGTAAAGACGGCAGAAGATGACGATGAGGAGGACGATATGTTTGAAACTGAATTCAGACAATACAAACGCACCTACTACATGACTAAGATGGGAGTGGATGTGGTGTCTGAGTGAGTAACTATAAGCAAACACACAATCCACCAACACTATCTCACTAACACATAAAAGTTGATTGTATCTGGGTCTTGTGGACAAGTAAGGAAGCATAAGAAATTGTAGTGAATGTCTGCTAATGTATCCAAACTTAAAGTAAAACTTAGGAGCATCGCTCCACTTGTGGTGGTCTCCTGTAAAGACAGAGTTTTCTAAAACTGACTAAAGTAATTTAATGTAAAAACAATATTGTATCTATTCGTCAGTGTGATAAATGACATTAATATGCAAATTAGTTCCAACCTACACTTGAAAATAATCTGTGAACTGATTTTCAGAAGTTGATGATGATGATTTGTAATTTACTTGTTTTCCTTAAATATCTCCTCATCCTCCATTTGCAGTGAGTTTCTTGCCAATCAGGCCAAGTGTTATGTAGAAGGCATCCAGTGGATTCTACACTACTATTACCACGGGGTTCAGTCCTGGAGCTGGTAAGGACTTCTCCATTATGAATCACTTACTCTCTACACTTTGTTTCTTTTAGTTCCAGTGGCCTGGGAAAGTCAGATCATTTAATAAAGTCTCTTTACATATAACGGAGTACAGAATAATGTATCATATGTAGGTTCACAGAGGAAGATTTTGCATATCAATACACACTAATCCCCAGTTAAAGTGAAAGTCTAGTGTGTTCCATTTAAAAATCACTGTAATAATGTGTATGTGTCTCTCTAGGTACTACCCCTACCACTATGCCCCCTTCCTGTCTGACATCAGGAATATATCTGGGTTAAAACTGACCTTCGACATAGGGAAACCCTTCATGCCCTTCCAGCAGCTTTTGGCCGTCCTGCCTGCTGCCAGTATGGAGCTGCTGCCTGCGTGTTACAGGGTAACACACACATGCACACATGCACACACACAAACACACACATGCACGCACTCACACACAAACACGCATGCACGCGCACACACACACACACACACACACACTTATTTGCATGTTTTACTAGTTTGAATATTACTGAACATAACAGATTGTAAAATATTATTTTGAAGAATATAAAAGTGAAAAAATACAAAAGATAATCTGTTAATTTCATTATTTCAGCAACTGATGACCAGTGAAAGTTCGCCCATTATTGAGTACTACCCACTTGACTTTAAAACGGACCTCAACGGCAAGCAGCAAGAGTGGGAGGCTGTGGTGCTCATCCCTTTCATAGATGAGGTAAGCACATCCAAGCACACACTGGAGGAAAAAGAATGCTGCAGTTATCAGAAAGAAAAAGCTTTGTTAACAGTATAACCACATGTTTCTGTGTGTTTATTGAACAGAGGTGTTTACTAGCAGCCATGGAACCCTGCAATCACAGGCTGACTAAAGAGGAGAAAGCCAGGAACTGCCACACAGAGTGCGCAGTCTACTCATATGACAAAGAGATAGACTGCACGTACACCTCCCCCCTTCCTCAGCTGTTCCCCGATATCATCCACTGCCACTCCAGGTAGAAAAACCCTCACTGACCCACACTCACCCTACACAATCACAAAGTGTGACATGTAGTAAATCTTTCCTGCCTCTTCACTGTATTATCAATTATAAGATAAGAATGAATTTGCACAATATATTTACAATATCTGTTAATTACTGCTGGTCAGAAAATACTTTTATATGTCTGCTGTCAGATACCACAGGCTGGTTTTCAATGCAGTTTTCTTGTGTTGTATTTGTCTGATACAGGGTAGAACACATCCCCATGGACGCCTGGCAAGTGCCTTTGGACCATGTCAGCAGGCGACTGGATCGCTCGTCTCTGTACTTCTGTGGCTTCCCAACTCTGCAACACATCAAACACAAGGTAAGGTGTGTGCCCACGTGCAAGCATGTGTGCGTGTGCAATATACTTGCATTGAATGGCCCTAAACATTTTGAGAAATACAATATCAATACTAAAACTACATATTTGTGTCTCAGATCTGCTTTCATGCCTGTCACTATTGTGGAGATTGGAAGTATGAAAAATGAACGCTCCCTCTTTTCTCACTTTCGTCTTGTTTGCCCCTCTCTCTCATCTAACCGTCTTCAGTTCTTTAAGAAGAAGAGCGGTGTGGTCGTGTTCCAGCAGAGCAGCAGAGGGGAGAACATGATGCTCCAGATTCTTCCCAGTGAGGAAGGAGAAACGGTGAAGTTTTTTTTTTTTTACTTTATTCATTTTGCTCTTAAAATCATTGCTAAAAATAACTATTGCAGGATATAGTACAGGATATAGTAATACATGTTTTTTTTTTTTCCTTATTACAAATTAAGTCTAAATAGCTTTGGGTTTTCTTTTTCTAAGTATTGTATTATGTAAGACGATAGAGTTAAAAGTTCAGACTCCTTATCAGACCAAACCCTTTTTTAAATTTTTCCTTTTGCTGATTGGTGAACCAACTCAATTTTAGCAGCTTTGAGTTTGAACACCACTACTGACATTAACAAAGGTTATCTGGTTTGCACTGGTCTTACTCTCTGTATATTTGTCTTTTTTTCTGCTATTTAGTTTTGAACCTATTTGGTTTCTATCTCTGCCTTTTACTCACACTAACTCGTTTCCCTCTTCTGCTCTCTTTGATTTTTCCTCTGCGACTCTAGATATGTGATGATGCTTCTGTGCAAGTACTGGGGAAGTCTGTGTTCGTGAACTGGCCCCATCTAGAAGAAGCTCGCATCATTGCAGTGTCAGATGGAGACACAAAGTAAGAATTAGTACAAGAAACTGTCTTCACCAACAGTGAAGTTAAATGCGTCTGACAATTGATTTGTGACATTATTTGTAGCTGTAGTGTCTCCCTGTCATCCTGCTGGTTGTGTTTGTTTTGGAATCTACATACACAGAGAAATTATTTTTGTTGTTTCACCTTTTATTAGACTTTAACTTGCTGCTTTTTGTGATGAGCTTAAACAACTGAAATCAAATCGTTATGTTGCTGAGAGTAAACGCTTGAATTGGGACCATGTTAATGCTGCATTACAATGTAATGTGGGCTGCTATGGTGTCTTTTGTGAACCACTGGGTGGCCCCAAAGTTACAAGTTCTCCACAATTTCAGACGATGTAACGACCTCACCAACATGCACCAAATGTAAACAAGTATCTCAGTTGGACTATTCGTTTAGAAGCTTGGAGTTTGTCTCTGTATTTGTGTGAATCCCAGTATTTGAGGCAAATCATTTACCTGTTTTGCAGGTTTTGTCTGGAGGAACCTCCAAGTGTACAGAGAGTGTATGACCGCTCCTCCACTCCCCCTCCCACCAAAGTCATCTGTCTGTCAGACAAGGAGCAGAAGGATTGGGTGAAAGATGTTCAGGGAATCACTGAATAGTAAGACACATGGAACAGCAAATTTTTTTTGTCAATTAGTAGAGAAAATACCACTGTTTCCTTAACAATGCATTGGTTTGAAATCGCATTGTCATCCTTCTCATTTGTGGATGAGACCCTTGAAGCCACTGTATCCAGGTTCTACTGCCCTGTTCTTACCTAAAATCACAGTAAAGCACCAGTTCGAGCCTATTGCTTTTATTCACAAGTCCTTTTCATTCGATATTTTTTATTCAGTTTCTTGAGAAGAAAAGGCATCATGGTGAACGACACATCGGTGGTTTTGTACGGCCAGTTGCTGACAGGAAGGAAGTATGTCCCCAAAGCCAACGGAGTTGTGGAACTAGAGAAGCAGTGGGCCAAACAAGTTCTCCCTTTCGCCTACCAGACCGTGGTTAAGGTACACATCTAAATATATAGCACATGAAGGAATGCATAAACAAAACCTATGGAAACAAATAGTCTAACCTGCTAAGCTATATTTAGGGAGTGAGTCTGAAGCTGGTAACTGCATGCTCATAATCTCTCTGACAGAAACACACAGTTGCAGTTTTTTAAAGCCAAAGAATGGATTTTATACTCAGCTGAATCTGGCCCACATCATAACACATTTATCATAGACACATTGTGGAATTAAGGATGTTATAGAAAGTATTGTAACACCGCTGATACAGATACACATTTAAACAAACCTAATGTTACCAACTGATCATCTTGACTCGTGTTTGCACTCTTTCCTCACCGATGTCACCTTGTCACTCACTCGTCCATATTCTGCTTCTCCCTCCGTCTTCTCAGGACATCAAGGCCTTTTACTCGTCTCTGACTTGTTTTAAGAGCTTGGATGAGCTCTTCCCTCAAGCAACGACTGTCTTCATGGTGGGGAACCCGTACTACGGTAACACAGGGGAGGTGAGTGATCTGCTGTAATTCTATAGCAACCACATCATTGTAGAAATTATGGATGATTGACATTTTAATGACAATTAGTTGCAAAGTGGAGGGAAATCCTCCATTTAAACATTTTATTTGACCTACACTTCTCTTACCAGGTACATATTGTGTAAATATTATATATATATATATATATACTGAATTTAAACTGGTGGAATAAAAAAATTATATTAGCTCTGATAAACAATATTTTATATATCATTTACCATCTGAAAATGTTAGTGTTAGCTTTGTTTTTTTCAAATGTGTCCTCCTGAATCTCCATCTCTTTTTGTTTGTGGCTGAACAGGTTCAAGATTCCAGTGACGTCATTAAAGACGGTCGAGTCCGTGTTGTCTTCAACGTGCCACATGAGCCACAGCTTGAGCCTTTGATCCAGAATCAGCATGTAAGAGATGACGTGCACATTTGTCAGGGCATTTAACTGAGAAATTGTTGATTTTGGTGCCTCGTCTATATATGTGTACCAATCCGAGTCTGTCTGTTTGTTTGTTTTTTAGAAATACTGTGTGAAATACAGTCCTGGATATGTTCTGGCATCTCATCTCGGCATCACCAGCTACCTCGTGTCCCGCTTCTCAGGAAGCATCTTTATTGGTAGAGGCTCTAAGAAGAAGTGAGTGTAGATATAGAGATATCCTGAAAACGTCAGTTGTTAATTTGGCTGTATATTTAATGCTTTCAATCTGTAAGTTTTGTATGTTCCGCTGGTTTATACAAATACTTAAGGTTTCTGCTTTCTCTTCTGTGCTCCAATCTTGTCCTCTTCTCTTGGTCCAGTCCTTGTGGGGAGCAAAAAGCCAACGTTGGCTTGAACCTGAAATTCAACAAGAAGAACGAGGAGGTTCCTGGATACACCAAGAGAACCGAAAAGGAGTGGCTCTACTCTGTTGCTGTGGAGGAACTGCTAGCTGAATACTTGGACAGGTAAAAAAAAAACGGCAAAAGAAAAAGGCACTGGAATGTGTTGAATTGTTGTTTTTTTTTGTTTAATACAAAAAGTAAAGTATTTGTCGAAAATACATACAGTAAAATGTTGCACCATTTTGACATACACAATATGTTTTTTAATATTTTGATAGATTTTCTGAGGTTTTCAACACAGTGTCCAGAAACAGTCATGATGATGTTTTCTATGAAGACGACGTCTGGCCTGGAGCAGACCAGAATGGGTAAGACACACACAGAGACGTCCTGTATTTAATCTCTTCTGATCTAGAGCAACCCTTACAGTTGATTGTAGCGTAGATTTGAATTAGGGCTGTTACAATATCAGGTGAAATGACATTGCGATCACAATATTGACGATATCACAATGTCTGTAGAAAGTTTAAAAAAATAAACACTTTGTCTTGTTGGTATTTTATTGAACTTTTTTTCAGGGCACATACAGAAGGGATTCTATCTTGTAAATGAATTGAACTTGTGGTGTATTTATCAATGATCCCTGATGTTGATGGACTTTTCCACAGGGCCGAGAGAGTGGCTGAAATCACTTCGTGGTTGAAAAGTCACCCAGTCAGCTCCATCAGCAGGGCGTCATGTGATCTACAGGTGCTCGACTCAGCAATCGTGGAAAGGATCGAGGATGCAGTTGAGAAAACTAAGGTGACTCTCACTCACACACGACACCTGACTATTTCAGTCTTTCAGTTTTATAGTGTTTGTACTGTTATTTGTTCTCCATTCACAAGCCTCTCTCCTCTTGTTCTCTCAGGTGAAGAAGAGCACTAGGAAAGTCCGTGTGACTGTTAAACCTCATCTACTCTTCAGGGTGAGTTTGAAATTCCACAATAAGCATTAGGAGTGTGGATTTAGGAGCATTAGTACAAATTTGAAATGACACATACATTCAATGCAAGCTGCGTCATATTTAGTTACATACTGTGTATTTACATGTTATTAAACACTGATGAATGCCGGTATTTGCGTGTAGCCTTTGGAGCAGCAGCAAGGTGTGGTTCCAGACCCAGACGCAGAATATCGCCTGTTTGACAGAGTCGTCAACATCCGGGAGAGCTTCACTGTCCCACTGGGGCTCAGAGGAACTGTCATCGGTATTCAAGGAGGTGAGGACACACACATTCATCATTTCTTTCATCCACTGATGTCTTTAAACCATTTCATAGAAAAGAACATATAATTCTAACAGTTTGTTTTGTGTCTGTTCATATTTCCAGCGGACCGTGAGGCAGAGGTTCTCTATGAAGTGCTGTTTGATGAAGAGTTTGTTGGTGGTCTAAACATCAGGTGATCACACTTTTTACACGTCTGCATGATTAAACAAACCCCCCCACCGGCACTAGCGAACTGATTTCTGACAGATTTCTTTGCATCGGTCCGTTTACTCAGGTGTACATCACCTCGCGGTTACCGTCTCCCTCCCTGCGCTCTCATCAATCTTTCCCACGGTGCCCGAGTGGATCACACCTCCCACAAACTCACCGCCATCGTCAAACCTCAGCCCGCATCTGGCGGTAACTTCCACTCACACAGGCAGATGACCGGCCTCAACCATTCGCCAAGGTCACCCTTTATGCCCACACAGGTACGTGGGGACAATGCAGCCACACAGTTTAGTTTGAAATGATGACGCAATTGGAAATTATTTGTCGTAGGTAACTGATCCATCCTTATAAATTATTCCATTTTCCTTTCTCCTCTCTGTGTTCCACCTCTTAAATGTTCATCTGTAGCATAACAACAAACACAGTGTGGGGAAGGCAGCCTCCCAGGGCAACAGAAACTCCCCCTCTAGAGGTCCCATCCAGAAACAACAGGGCAGAGTAAGTGCAAGACCGTCTCACTTTTATAAGCTGTTTCCACCTCAGCAACCATTTGACCACCATGTACATGGTGTTTGTTGAAATATGCTCACATATTGTGAATTTTACTATTCTCTCATCTTATCTCCAACCAGAATAAAGAGGAGTACGGAAATGTGTGGCAGTCAATGCAGAGCATGGGCCCTCCGAATAAACCTCCTGCTCACTGGCAGAATCATGTAAGTGTGTGTGGATGTTTGAACTAAATATAAAGCTAATGTAAAGTGATTTTTATTTTTAAAAATGTACTAACAGTATAAAATAGTGGAAGACATCACTGGGCATTGCCTGAAATACAGATAACAAACAAGACCACGAGGAGAGTTGACATCAATACAGAACGTTAACTTCCTCAGGAATGGAGCCAGCCTATCTCTGTGTCAGGACATGTAGGAGGCCTTAGCAAAAGACAACAGTCTGTAGTTTTGACATAAAGCAGCATGGTCAGGACTGAGGAGCAAACACATTCATCAAGATGTTTTATGTGTGTTTCAGTAACAATTTTAAAATGAGAACTGTGTCTTTGTCAACTCTAGGAAGGACACACCCAACAGGGGAAGAACCTGCACACAACCCCCAACAAAGCTGTGAGTGGACACACACACACACACACACACACACACACACACACACACAGACGCATTTCAACTCTTAAAATTACATTTTCATGTTACAAAATACTGTTATCAGATTCTTCATTCTGTAGAAATGTTTGCCTTGACTTTAAGCACTTTCTGGATTCTGGAAATGCAAACAAACATTGTGTTTGTGTGAGTGGGTGTGTGTGGGGGATACAAAATAATGTTAGTCTGTGTCTGTTCTCTACAGGCCCCAGTTGGTGGCATAAGACTGTTGAAGAAAAATGAAGACCCTGACTTCCTTCTCCCTGCACAGAACACAGGCAATAAGGTACATACACACACACTGTACATCTCCAACCATGTGTGCCTTATTAAGATTTAGGTGAAAGGGAACTATTGGCAGAAATTTAATGTAGAATAATCCTCATGATGTTTTCACTAGTTCATTTCATCTAAATTGTATGAATTGTAGTTTTCTTTACCTCAGAAAAGGTCCTTTATATTTAAATAATTTATATTTACATCAAGGGGACCCTCTCTACAGAGGCCGCCATGTTTTTTACTTTAGTCCAGACTGGACAAACTAAACACCTTTCAAGTTTTTATGACAACTAAAGCTACCACAGTTTATTTTTCATGTTTGGAAGGAGAGGGTGAGGTGAGGGGTGTTCAGCTGCAACATGCAATTTTCCAAAATTCTACACACTGTACCTTTAATTCAACTATGTTTTCTTATTTCTCTCTCAGACTTCGACTGAGTTTGAGGATCTCATCGCGAGTCTAAAGATCTCTGCTGGTAATCAGCAGACCCCACCTCCTCCTGCTCTTCCACAAGCACCCACCACCCAGTCAGATGGCCCACTGTCTCCACAGTCTTTCGCCATGGTGAGTATTGGAGGCACTCCTGATCACCCGATCCTGATCATTTATAATAGAAATGTGTATCTGAGTCCTTGAAGGCTGCATAACAACTTAAGTCAAAATCCAACAGGTTTAATTCATTTTAATGTTTGCATTCGGCAGAATATTTTTTATCCCATGCTGTGACCTTGACCTTTTACGGATTTTGGATTTTATGGAAATTGTGATGTTCTGACGCCTTGGTTTGGTGTCATTTTCACTGTGTTCAGTGTTTCTATCTCTGGTCACTACAACAGGATAATTGACTGTAATTTGTGCTGTGGTTTTTAGAAAGGAACACTGGTCCTGAAGGAGATGCTGAAGATTGATTCCGGCACAGGAAGCCCCCCTTTCCAGGACTCTGCTCACACAGCCCCCTCTGGAGGCCAGCAGCAGAACAGAAGACGATCATCCAAGAAACTAGGTATCTCCTACACCATGACCAGTTTACATGTTTACAAACCAAGGCTTGTATTCCATGTTTTTATAGGCATTTTATTCCATTTCATCCCTGTTTCTCTTCCTCAAGCTGCAAAGATGAATTCCCCCCATGGTGACACAGCTTCTCCTGCATCGGCTGCCTCCACCAACCTCTCCAACACTGTGCTGAACAGTAAGGTGTCAGAGCTGGCATGTGTCTGTGTGGGGTTAGGCATGGCACCACCCGATTTCAGCTTTATATGCAACAGACAGGTAACACAGCACATTTTATTTTTGTCTTTCACAATATACACAATGGCTTCAGTAAGTATTCCAACCCCTTCAACCACCACATTTGTGTATCATTGATGGATAGATTGTCTGGAGTCCTTCTGTAGCAAACTGAATTGGCATAGTTTTAAAGGCACTCAGCTGTGTGTGTAAGGTTCCAGCATTCATACTTCATGTCAGTACAAAAAACAAATCATGGAATACAAGGATTTCTCTAAATCACTGAACCTCAATTTTGAAAGCTTGGAGTGTTTCCAGCAGCGCTTTACATTGAGCACTGTGGAATAACTGAATAATTGTGAAAGAGAAGTTTGGACACGTCAGGATTCTTGATTTGCCCAAACTAAGTATCCAGCGTTATGGTGGGAAGGCTTGACATAAACTACACAATGTTTGTTTGCATTTCCAGAATGTATAACACAAAATGTGCAAAGGGTCAGAATATTTTCTGAAGCCCCTCTACATTTATATTTTATCTTTAGACAAAAATTCCTGGTCATTTTTAATAAAACTATCCTCTGTCTTTACAGGGTCTGGTCGTGTGTCAGGTGAAACTATCCAATGGACTGATGGTTCACGGTCCACAGTGCCAGTCTGAAAATGATGCCAAGGAGAAAGCTGCCTTTTTTGCCCTCCAAAGACTGGTACAACACACACACACACACACACACACACACACACACACACACACACTTGTGTTTATGTGAATGAGAGAATGTGTGCATGTAATAATCAGTGGATAAATAAATCAATCAGAAATCTTATGATTGCCTAAAAATATGTTTTTCAATTTCATTGATCAGCTCATTGAGGTCTTAACCCTGAAACAAGAACCACTGTGGATATAACTTGCAGCATTTGGGTCTTTCTTGATAGTTGTTCATAAATTGTTTAGAGCAATTTAATTTATCACATTAGTAACTTTTTATTAAGAACCGAGAAGAAATGCAACTTTGTTTCCTCCGTATTGTAGAAGTGACAGAACTTAAAAGACGCAGCAGTTTATTTTCCAATAAGACAAAAATATGAGGCGTTAAACAAGTTGGCAATTAGTAGTTATCATTCTGCATGCCATTTAAAGATTCATGGGGCAACTCATAATCTGATGATTTGACAAGGCAAACTAATTATGCATCATAACACAGGTAATATTATTCTTCAGATACAGAGATTCAAAGCTTCTCTGTCTGTCTTGTGTGTCTGTAGAACTCAGTGGGATCGGGCTTCCCACTCCCACCTGCTCTGTATCCAGGAGTGGGTCAGATACGACCTCCACCCATGGGACCCATGACCCGGGTCTTTAACCAGCAAGGTCAGTCTACGTCATCTCTCTACAGACAGTAGTAACAGTTACATAATCTCATGTGAGTAGGGAGTGGTAAACCCATATCATGTTGACCACCCATCTGTGCCTTTGGAACTTTATTTCCACATTTTTTAGTTTTCCTGTCTCAGAAGTAGCTTGAGACTTTCTGAGATCTATCCATCTAGATGAATTTGAAACTTTTACATGTTGTTCTCTAATGTTTTTTTTTTTTTCTTCAGGGGGTATACTGTTGCCCCCGCAGGGTTATGGTCCTGGCCCTATGTGGGGAATGGCGCTGCCTCCGCACCACCAGAATCAACAGTTTTATGGACCCCCAGGAACCTTCCCTGGTGCCGCCCGCCCCCAGCATGCACCAACAACCCTGCCCATCGGCTCACACAACCAGTTCATCCCGCTACAAGTAAACACATACACACGATGGGAGGTAGAATAATTGTGGGAGTTCTTATTGTCTTATTGTCGTTCTTATTGTCCTCTGACCCTGACAGGTGACCAAGAAGCGGGTCTCAGCCAACAAGAAGAACCAGGAAACTCGAGAGTTTTACAGCGCCGCACATACCGTGGCCAGGAACCAATCACAGAAGGTCCATAACCAGCCCTCCGGCCAGTTGCAATTTCAAAGTGAACCACAGAGCGGTCAGGTCAACCAGACGCACCAACATGCTGCCAACAGCAACCCCACTTTGTCCACTACCAGTCTAGCAGATGGTGTTTCCACGACAACCCCGCACACACCCCCGAGGCAAAACACGCCAGCAACAGGTCACACCCCTGGCTCCGCCTCCAAGAGGAAGCACAGGAAGCTGGCTGTCAACTTCGAGGCGGCTAAAGTGTCAGAGTGATGAGCGGGGGTGTGTATGTGTAGTGTTTTTAAGTTGCTGGTTCAAAGCCTGACTCAGCATCTCAGTAAGAACGTTTCTTTTCACTCAACATTTTAACGTAAAAGCAGCTTCAGTTTAAACGGAGGGACAGATCCAACTTTGACTGACATTTGTTGAGCCATATTACTCCCACTTTTACTGCCGTCTTTTTCTTTTCTTTCCTTTAGTCTTTCATAAAAATGATTTTGTGGATCTGAATCAGAACACGAGTTCTCTTCTCAGTATATTTAAAGGAAAAATGATTTATTACAGCTTCTATTTTTGTAGCTCCTATTTAGGAAACTTTTAGGATCACGACAAAATGGCAGCTACAATGAAAAGCAAATACAAGCACTGGTTGTAAACAACAGGCGACCAGTACCATTACATAAACAATGTTAACATCCAAAGCTGCTGATGTGGGAATTAATAGCGTCACCATTCGTTTTCTCCCCCAAATACATCAAGGTTTCAGAAACCCATTAATTATCTTGCCTTGTTTGACAGTGTCAGCAGGTTTGATGAGTGCAGTGTTACCATTGTGGATTCTTCAGACTCCTAATGTTCACTGGCTCATTGAGCTCAGCCTGGTTAAACCTTTCAGCAGTAATGAAGATCTAGTGAACACTGCCTTAAAGGTGCCTCATTTTTATTAAATATGCATTTTAGGGGGAAAAACTGTTGAATCCCAAAACTCAACATCAGAATTGAGCAATTAGAAGATGTATAATCTTAGACCTATATTCAATATTTCTGTTTTGACATAACTACATTTTGACTGAATGTGGCTTATCCTGTACAGCCTCCCCACATTTCACTCTCCATCTTCAAATTGTTGCGATGTGCAGTTGATTTAAGGACCTTATGACCCCGTTCAGACCTGGTATTGACATCCATCCTGTGTGATCCGATCACAAGTGGTCAGCTCTAAGTTCAGGTCTGAACTCACCCTGATCTGTCCTGAGATGCAGTTCCAAAAAACTAATTAGGTGGTGATCTGATGTGGCCACATTTCTTTTGTGTGAACACAAGCGCGTCCTGGGCCTCATTTAAAGGACCGCCCACTCAGCTGACGTCTTCTGACCCGCTACAGTTGAAATGAATTTTTTTGTTTGTAGCCAGTGCCACAATATCACTACTGACCACCACATAATGACTTTTGTTAAATTGATTGTTAAATCTTTGCTCTTAGCTGCGCAAATTCATTCATCCAGCCCCTCCGGACTCCTCTCTGGTTTATTTACACATAGAGCAGGATGTGAAGGCAGATCACACGTGGCCACAGGAGACACATTTTAATACCAGGTCTGAACAGGGCATGTGTCAACACACACTGAGAACACGCATCTGAATGCTGATTTGTTGGGATCCATCATGCTCCGGGTCACACTGTGTCCGTGATGCTTTGGAAACGCTCTTGGATCAAATTTAGATCTTGGTTCTCAGGGACCTGTAGTCGTGACAGACGCTCTCTTCGTACTCCAGCCTCAGATTTGCACTGCAGCGATCTCTCTCTGAGTACCGGTGGATATTTGCATGTTTGTATGTTTAGAGAACTGTGTTTGGGCCTTGTTTTGTTTAGGGAGTGTTGAGCAGAGAAATCATCCGTCTGTCACGGCTACACTTGTACATAGCGCTCACACTTAATGAACCATTAAAGCCATTTGTATAAAAACAGGCGACATTGATTATGTTTTTCCAATGTTACCCGTTTAATTCTGACAGACAGTGCAGAGTCACTGCAGAGCTGTTTAACAATAGCAGAGTCTGACTCACCTTCCTTAGCGAGACATAAAATCTCCAGAGGAATTTTTATTTCCATTTTATTTCTATGAGGTGGACCCTGCGAAGTCCTTGAGTTTTATCGTTGCAGTCTATAAAATCATTTTAACCTGAAAAAAAGCTACTTCATACAAAACCAATCTTTCTCTTTTTAACTGAAGTGTCCAGAGATTGTGGCTGATTTTACACAGGTGGAATTGTTTTGTCCATTTTCTTGCTTCCACTCAGAAAAGGTAACAGAGTAAATGTGACTGTTCACAAAAATGTTTTTCAATACTCTTGACATTTTAAATAAAAATACAAACACTTGAGCCAAAATCTTTTGATTGTGTCAAGATTCCTGACGTGTGACAGATGTTACATTATGAAAAATCGTTTGTGTGTCAAACATTTTCGTTTCAATCTGATACTTTTGTCGTTGTGGTTTTCTGAGTAAATCTTCAACTGGCAGAAAAAGTCACAATTGACATTAAGAGAAAGCATTTAATACTAAAAGTTTGAAAATAGGTTCTTTTATATTTGTGTAAATGAAGCCAAACAGCATTGTAACTCCTGTCCATAACAGGTACTGATGGGTTTGTTCTCACTAAATTCTAAAATCTCTTGAGATGCTAATCTGAATTACATTTTCAGTTTATGTTCAATATAAAATTTCTCTTTTAATGACCTTTTTTTTTTCTTTTGCAAGCTATTGATTTTATGGATACACTTTTTTTTTTATAGACATCGTCGGGTCTTTTCTAAGCGATCTGAGAAATTCTTCTTTCAGTGTTTGTGGTGCAGCCACGGTGATGGAGGCAGCTGAAACCATCACTAATATTTACTTTGTCCTCGTTTTGAGGGTTGCAGATGTGTAGGACATTTTGTGCATAATTTTTCTGTTCAGGCTGATGTCTATCTTAATGCCAACCCTGGGACTCAAGTCTAAAAGGCTCTGGTGCAATAAGAGGATATTTTAAAATGTTTTGCAGATTGAAGCACACCTGTTGTATATCTGTATTCTTCCTTTTTTTGGAAACTAATCGAAGATTTCTCAGTTTTAGAAGAAAATGACCTTATGTTTTGATCCAGGAATGTGCTGTACATATCCATTTAATAAAGTGAATCTTGTTAAAATGTGCTTTATTCTTTTTGAGGTGAGTGTGAGAGGGCGTCCTGGTGGCGCAGGGGGGCCGACGAAAAGCAAAGTAAACTTGGCTGCAGCGCCATGGAAAAAAGACTCATGCATTACGTCTATGGGGACATTCTGATGTGTGACATTTTGAGTATTGCACAATTTAAGTGTAACAACAAAATCTGCCTTCTTCAAATCAAGCATTGAATCCATGAGCAATAAAACATATCCTTACTCTCTTCACTGCACTCAGGTTTTACTGCCACAGCTTCACTGGCCTGGTTCGACCAGTAGCTAATTTTAGCAACATTTAAATATTCTGTGTATGTGCTTGATGACTCTTCTGTATTTGCGAAAGTGCTGTAATATTAAAGTTGTATAACCTTGTTAAACATTAAAGTTAAATCCACCAAAACAAGACAAGTGTCTTGTTGTATATAATACACACCTTTACCTCCCACAAACTAAAAGACCACAATGACATGTTAACCTTTGTTCATGTTTTCTAAATTCAAACTCCAGTTTGGTTCAATTGATTCATTTGTCCTTGATTTGTTTTTTTTTTACCTTTCAATCCCTGACCCCCAAAAGAACAGTGCCAGAGACTTGTGATCCCCGGGGATGATGATTTTATTGTTAATGTAAGCATTATGTTCTTATCCTTTGCAACAATTATGGATAAATATGTGCTTTCTGATTGTTTTACATGGTATCTGATTCCTGCAAATCATGTTGTGACTATCTGACTGGTTCCTTGCTTTTTTTTGGTTTGGTCCTTGTCTCTTGAACTGACATGGAGGCAGCAGGGCTCACGACCTGTGCTGCCGCCAGCCGCCAAGTGGTGATCCAGATGATTTGGCTTCACTAATCGGGAGTGGTCAGCTGTGTACAGTCTATAGTTGTGTCTCGATTCAGAGGCTGCATCCTTCAGAGGTCGTGGTCTCAAGGCCCACAAAGATCGCCTCCTTCTTGGGCCATTTAGGACTTGAAGGAGGTGCTTTCTTTTACAGAGGCTGTTGCCTAGTAACAGAGATGAAGTTGGACACGACAAGAAAGTTTTGCCCCTTGGTTTTTTTTTTAAACATGTTTGCTGTTAGCTGTTCAGTTGAGTTGAAGTGTGATACTCAAGCATTGGAAATCTCGTTGCTTGCCGACGCCATTACCTCTTCAAAAAAACGAAGCGCAGTGAATCCTGGGATAGATCGTCCCATTAGAGCCTTTGTTTCTCGGGGATGAAAGGACGTACGTGTCGGCCACATTTGAATGAGCCTTTAAAATGGGACAGTTTAGCCACGTCGCTGTGACATCATCAGTTTTCGAATGCAGCCTCTAAAGGACGCACCCTCCAGCTAATGTCCTGTGTGCATAGAAGCAAATGGAGGCGCTGCTTAAAAAACACAAAATAAGACATTTTATTTTCCGTGAGCACCAGTCAGTCAGTACAAATGTTCTCTCAAGTTTTGTTTGAACAGAAACTTCATAGTCACAGATCAGAAAAACGAACACTTCAATAAAAACCAGGCCTACATCATCTTTACAGGCACGACACTGGATCTACGTCTCAGTCGACACAGTGAGAGAAAAACCTTCTGCTTCTACCTAAACAGAGTAAGAAACTAAAACATTTGTCAACAACAACACAAATATATATATATATATATATTTATATATACATGTTACATCTTCAAAATCTGAACTTTGCTAGTTTTTCCACACTATGTCCCGCTACAGTATAAATTAATGAAATTCACACATTGATTTCACTTCTAATGCTAACGCTAAAGCACAGATGTTAATGTTGAGACTAGTTCAAGTTACAAGCAGCAGAAAACTGGAGAAAAAACATTTGAAATATCAACAATCATAGATAAATGAGTCAGTGTAAACAAAGCTGGTGGTGAGTCTGCAGGGGGCGCCACTCTGGGATTATGAGTCAAAGCCGTCAGTATTATCTGTGTGCTGTATCTATTTGTAAAGCGAGCTAAGCGTCTTGGTGAATGTGCCTTAGTTCATTTTCATTTTTTTAATCTCCTCAATATGAACGTGATTCAACAATTAGAGAAAATCATTTTGTCGCAAAATGTTTTTAGAAAAAAAGATTTGTCCGTACTCGAGAGTCATGCCTATAACATCATGTGTGTATGTGCCTGCGTGTGTTTCCCATTCATGTGCACAGTGTTCACATTTTCTACTTTCAGCATGCCTGCATGTGTGTTTCTTCATGTGTTAATGTGTGTGTGTGTGTGTGTGTGTCCTGTGTCTCCTCAGGTCCTCCTCAGATGTGTGTTGCCCACATATGTGTTCTCTATGCACAGCACGATGTAGGGGTTGGAGCAGGAGCGGGTGTGTTGTCCCAGCAGTCGTCCCGTCTGCAGCAGCGCGGCCTGGCCCGTCACCGCCATGTCGCCTGTCCTCCACGCCTCGCAGTAGTTGTGGGTCAGACGGATGCCAACGGTGCTGGAGCCATGCCACACCAGCTTCTCTGGCCTGGACAAGGAGGAGGAGGAAGAGGAGGAGGAGGAGGGTGAGAGAGTGGAAGATACATGTGCCAAAGAAAGAAAGAAAAATCGAGACACTGCTGAGTTTCAGGTCAACAGTTACTTAATAGTCACACAGATAAATGCAGACGAATGTCACAGGGCCGAAGTTGAAGTCTACGCGGATGTGCTTAAGAGGCAAATGTTTTATTCTGCTCCTCGCACGAACTGATTGGAAGTGAACCAGGAGGAGAGGTTGGCCATTGATACATTCATCGATGTGTGACAGGGCCACGGTCACCTCGAGTTTCACACCCTGTGTCTGCATGTGCTTTCGCCGAGTGCTCCAGTTTCCTTCCAGCCCAGAGACATGCACGTCAGCTGAATGGAAAATAATTTGTTTCTTAAATGAGGCCTAAAACTGAGACCATAAACCCAAATCCAGCTGACATTGAGCGAGGGGCGGAGTACCTGGAGCAAACCCACGCAGGCAGAATGAGAACACAATCTAAAGCCCAAAAGTCTAAAAGCTTTATTTTTGCTTTATGCTCATCTATCAAGGCAACACCGTAGACTGTGCATAAAGATGGACAACATCCCATTATCTAGATATGAAGACTAAATGTTCAGAGTACAAACGCTGCCATCTTGGCTGAAGACGTCATTCGAAGTAGCGATTTAACAAAGTTTTATATATCAATTTAAAAAAATGTTTTCCATACTTAATATATATACTATCAAATAAGTAATCAACACCACATTTTAAACACACACTTGAACAAACATCAGTGTGATGAGAACTATCTAAAATGACAGAAATTGTCTTTAATTAAAATGTATTCAATGTGTATTTTGGTACACGTACCATCCATCAACATGGAGGAGGTGGGGTTTATGAACCATACTGAAGCCCGTCACCCGGGGCGATCGAGACACTTTTAGGAGCTGTCAAGATGTCGACTTGATATACAGTCTATACAGTCTATGAGTTAGACATGTATGTCCGATCAACACATGACACACGTTTGCAGGTGAGAGCAGAATTGAAATGAAAGCAGAATTATTTAATAATGTGTCTTTAAAGTGCTTCATCTACCCCATCATCTATGACCAAATGCATGCTGGGAGATGCTCAAAGATACTTCAGCTCCTGCTGATTGCACAAATGTTCTTTTCAGTGAGAGCTGCTGCTCATGTGAACATGAGATTTATGACCTGTCTGATAGAAAAGACGATTGGTTTGGATGATCATCTTTCTTTTCCATGCACACAAATACTTTGCTCACATGTACGCACGCACACACACACACACACACACACATGCGCGCACACACACACACAGACTTACCATGCTGAATCAGTCATAACGTTGCGTCCATCAAAGGAGTAAATGGGAGTGGATGGATTAAATGTTCCTCCATTCCCAGAGAAAATGGACATCCAACTACTGAACAACACTTCACCCTGAGGAGAGGAGAGGAGGAAAATAAAGTGAAAATACTCAAAAGATGATGTCAACAGTAAATACATCATTTATCATGATTATAACTTGAAATCTGTAGGAAAACACAGAAACACATGTATTCACCCCAAAATAATGAACCCACGACCATGACTGAAAAAACAGTGATACGCCACAGTGAAATGTTTCCTGTTATATTCTTGATTTTAAGATAAATCTGTATTTTCTGGTGCAGCCTTAGACAGTGAGCCTCTTCTCAGGTAAAGTCTGGAAAAAGACAACCCCCCCCTCAACCTACCTCAGTTTACTTGCATAGTTTTGCTCATTTCATGTACAGAAGCCTATTTACTGATTTTTTTGAGCATTCAGCAACTGAGCTACACTCATAAATTAGTTTATAGCTTGCAGCCTAATGTTGCTGTTTGACATAAACTTCAAACTGCATCATAAAAGTCAGTCCTAAGGCATTTTAAGTTTTTGAAAGGTAAAGAAACAGTAAGATTTCGTGGAACCAAACTTATTTAATCACATCCCACTCATTGAGACTATTCAACTTGATATCCCTTTAGTAAAAAAATGTCACGTTCCTGCCCCCCCCTACAATTGAAGGCCCCCTTCCACTTTGAAAACCTGTGGCCGAGTGATGACGAGGTGAAGCTTTATAAACCTTCAAACCAGTTGAATCAGAAAAAAAACTGCTTCATAGGATAAAGCTTTTAAAATAACAGCTCAATGGAGCATTCTGCTGGTCAAAGTTAAGAAAACCACTGAACGAGAAAACCCCTTAAAACTCAAATAAATGACCAGTTAAATGAATAAATTATTGAAAAAAAGTAGAACTAAACAAAGACATAAATTCATGCACGTATGCATTCACGATTGCATGTGATTATAGTGAATCTGTACAGACCAACAGTGTGCTGTAGGCCCGAAAGAGAAATCTTACACTCAAAAAATAATTATGGCTTTTATATATTTCAGTGACATGTGAAATGTCTATGTAGCTTTCCTACATAAGCTCAATGTAAAGAGTGACAAGTAATGAATCCTTTTCTATCAGGTT